CTGTTTAGGGGTTCCAGCTGCGCAGAAGAATGGTCTTCTTCCAGTGGGAATGGTCATCCTCTTAAACTGAGCATGCAGCTTCTGGAGGGATGCACATGGAGCAGTGAGGGAGGAAGGGGCCACCCACCTAGTCAGCCAGATCAGCTGAATCAAACCTGACAATCAATGGGGTGACACCCCACATGACACTAACTAAACAAAGAAGGTCAGGAAGCACATCTTTCCATGTGCAGCAAAAGCACAGATCTGGACATTTCAGTAAGCTGCATTAAAGGCTACTAGTCGGCTGGGCACAGTGGCTTAAGCCTGTAATCTCAGTACTTTGGGAGGCCAAGGTGAGAAGACTGCCTGAGCCCGTAGGTTTGAGACCAGCCTGGGCAACTTGGTGAGACTTCATCTACAATAAATTTTAAAAATTAGCCAGGCACGGTAGTGTATGCCTGTAGTTCTGGCTACTTGGAAGGCTGAGGCTGAAGGATCGCTGGAGCCCAGCAGGTTGACGCTGGGGTGGCTGTGAGTGTGCCACCGCACTCCAGCCTAGGCGACAGAGTGAGACTCCAACTCAAAAAAAAGGCTAGTCTATTTGCTTCCTTGTGGTGTCATTTTACTTGTTCCTGTATCCCTTGAATTTCTTGAAATGGCAGTTATCTGTAGAGTTTGATGAGATTCAGGTTGAGTAATTCTGGCAAGAGTATTTCGTGGGCTGGTCTGTGTGCTTCACACAGCATCCCATCAGGAAGCATAAAGTGTGTGACTGCAGTACATTGCAGCAGTAACAGCTTCTTCCTGCCCTGATGGACTTGCCCAAACCTCCTTGTATCCATGCCCTTGAGTAGACCCCTCTTGTTCTGACTCTGGGTAGGCCTGGCCACATAATATGATTTGGAAAACAAGACAAGAGCAAATCTGATAGCAAGCAGTGACCCAAAAGTGTTTGCACATTGGAGCTTTCCCCATCTTGCTACTGTTTAGAATGCTGAGACCACCATCTGGAGAAGCCTACTGGAGCATGAGAAATTACTTGGAACAGAGACGAACAGTCCCAGCTGAGACCATCTAGACCAACTAACCTGCAAACTACACAACTGCGAGTGAGGTCATCCTAGATTATCTAGACTATACGAGGTGCCAGCTGACCACAGAGACAGGAAGCCAGGCACAAACCCCCCCTCCCACCCTGCAAAATGCCAGCAGATTCACAGAATTGTGAGCAAATGAAATTGTTGCTTTAAGCCATGTTTTGAAGTGATTTGAAACAGAGCAAAAGCTAATGGATACACTGGTTCATCCATTTTCAGTACAACAGTAGATCCAAGTGATAACAGCCTGATCCCTACATTGCCAATTGCCCAACAACCTTCCAATTAAGGTTTTGTCTATTGATTACTACCTATTTCAATTTTTTAATGTCACCAAATTAATGATGATTTTCTAATTCTATTATACCTTCCACATTAAGTAGCAGGAATTCTTGTGTGAAGAACTTTCTCTCATCTACTAGGGTTATTCTTTAACTCTTAAACAGTTTGTACATGATAGATGCCCAATTCTTTCCTTTTAAATACAAATTTTTGGCCAGTGGTGGTGGTTCACACCTGTAATCCTAGCACTTTGAGAGGTGGAGGAGAGAGGATTACCTGAGCCCAGGGGTTCGAGACCAGACTGGGCCACTAGGCAAGACCTTGTATCTACAATAAATTAAAAAATTAGCTGGGCGTGATGGTGTGTTCCTGTGGTTCCAGCTGCTTGAAAGGCTGAGGCCAAAGGATGCCCTGAGCCCAGCAGGTCAAGGTTGCAGTAGTTGTGAACTTGCCACTGCACTCCAGCCTGGGTCAAAAAGTAAAACTCTGTTTCAAAAAATAAATAAATAAATACAAAGTTTCAAAGGATATATGTTGCCCTAGCTACTTCCCATGGAGTCCAGTGAGGGTTGTTTTTTCTTTTCTCTCTCTTACAGCAACATAAGTTCATTAAGAAATATATCAAGTATGGTTTCAATCAACTGTAGACTTTTTTTTCCTCCTCAAATTCCCCCATTTTTGCCAACAAGAGTACCTTCATGTTGGCTTCTGTATCCTTTTGACATGATCCATTAGTCTTTCTGGCACAAATAATGTCCCAGCTCATCTTTCGTATTTCTTATCCCTGATTTGGAATCAGTCATTCCTCCAAAAAACCTTAGTTACAATTAATGGGAAAGGTATTTAGAGACCATAATCTAAGTACTTGACGTGCTCATCGCTATTTGGATATGATTGCTTCTAGATCTTTTCAGCTGTCAGATTTAAAAAATATTATTTAAAAAGAGAGTTGCCCGGCTCGGTGGCTCAGCCTGTAATCCCGCGCCTTTGGGAGGCTGAGGTGAGTGGATTGCCTGAGCCCGCGGGTTCGAGACCCACCTGGGCAGCGAGATCTCATCTCTACAATAAATCAAAAATTCAGCTGGGCGTGGTAGCGCATGCCTGTAATTCTGGCTACTCGGAAGACTGAGGCGGAAGGATCGCCGGAGCCCAGCAGGCGAAGCTGCGGTAGCCGAAAGTGGCCACTGCACTCCAGTCTGGGTGACAGAGTGAGACTCCAACTCAAAAAAAAAAAAAAAAAAAGAGAGAGAGAGTTTATGGCCGGGAGTGGTGGCTCACACCTGTAATCCCAACACTTTGGAAGGCAGAAGTGAGAGGATTACCTGAGCCCATGGGTGCAAGATCAGCCTGGGCAAACTGGTGAGACTTCATCCCTACAATAAATCAAAAAATTAGCTGGGCATGGTTGCATATGCCTGTAGTTCTAGCTACTTGGAAAGCTGAGGTGAAAAGATTGCCTGAGCCCAGCAGGTCAAGGCTGCAGTGGCCATGAGCATGCCACTGCACTCCAGCCTAGGTGATAGACTGAGACTCTGACTCCAAAAGAAAAATAAGAGAGAGAGAAAGAGAGAGAGAGAGAGAGAGAGAGAGAGTTTATATTGATATTTTCAATTAAAACTAAAACATAGAGGAATTTACTTAATTTCTTCAGTTTTATGTGTATCTCTTTTTTTTTTTTTGAGTCAGGGTCTCATTCTGTCACCCAGGCTGGAGGGCAGTGGCACGATCACAGCTCACCACAGCTTCAACCTTCTGGGCTCAGAGGGTCCTTCCACCTCAGCCTTCTGAGTAGCTGAGATGACAGATGCATGCCACCATGCCCAACTCATTGTTTGAATGTTGTAGAAATGAGGTCTTGCTATGTTGCCTAGGCTGGTCTCAAACTCCTGGGCTTAAACAATCCTCTCACACTGGCCTCCCAAAGTGCTACGATTACAGGAGTGAGCCACTGTACCCAGCATATATATGAAACTCATTTCTTATAAACTATAATCTTGACTTCTAACCACATTAACATAACTTATTTGCATTATCCTACAACATAGAAGATATTAAAATAGTTTTGAACAAAACCAATAGGGGGTGTGTGTTTGTGTATGGGGGTGTGATTTATTTCAAGGAATTGAGTCATGTGATAATGGAGGTTGGCAAGCTCAAAATCTACAGACTAGGTTGGCAGGCTGGAGACTCAGGGAAGAGTTCATGTTGCAGTTTAAGTCTGAAGGTGATCTGCTGGCAGAATTCCTTCTTGCCCAGGGGAGGTCAATTTTTGTCAGGATTAAGACCTTCAATTGATTAGATGAGGCCCATCCACAGTATAGAGAGCAATCTGCTTTATTCAAAGTTTATTGATTTAAATGTTTACCTCATCTACAAAACACCCTCACAGAAACACCCAGTATAATTTTTGACCAAATACTTTGTTACTGTGGCTCAGCCAAGTCAATACATAAAATTAACCATTACAAATATATTCCACTAAGTCTGTGCTGTGGGTTGAATTGTGTCCTGCCAAAAAAGATATGTTGGAGACTTAACCGCTAGTACTGGTGAATGTGACTTTACTTGGAAGTAGGGCATTGCATCACTGCAGACGTAACTAGTCGAGATGAGGTCCTATTGTAGTAGGGTGGGCCCTTAATTCAATATGACTGGTGTCCTCATAAAAACAGGAGATGACACACAGACATAGGTATGTACAGGGGGAAGATGATGCAAAGATACACAGAGAGAATACCATGTGATGATGGAGACAAAGATCAGAATGCTAAGGACTGCCTGCAACGCCAGAAGCTCAAAGAAAGGCCCGGGACAGATCCTCTCTCAGAGCCTCCAGAGGAATCAACCCTGCCAACACCAATTTCTTTGTTTGAAGTCACCAAGTTTAAGATCCTTTGTCATAGCAGCCCTAAGAAACTAATACACATTGTGTAGACAAAAAAACTATGCCACTTAAAATAATAATCTTTTTCTATGTGTTTATTTTACCAATTTGTAATAATAGGTTCAGGCATTTCTTTTTGTTTTTGATATCCTAGAATTGCTTTTCAATTTAATTTTTGGCTATTGATGGTTATTTATGTTTCCAAAGTCAAAACTATACAATAAGATATATTCAGAGAAGTCTTACTTCCATTCAGTCTATCCCACTTTGTTCCTTCTCTCCCTGAAATATCAAAAAATATAAAATAATAACAACAATGGTTATCTTTGGGAAGTGAGATTATGTGTTTCTTAACTCTTCTCTAAAGTTTTCAAGTCAGAACAAATAAAATTAAAAGAAAAAAGAAAATGACTTGTTTTACAGGACCCAGCTCAGGTTCCACAACCTCAGTGAAACCTTCCCATAAATACTTTCCCTTCTCTGAACTCTGTTTACTGTCCATATCGTTCTCTTAGCCCTTTGCAAAAATCAATCAATAAGTTGAAAAATTAATGCTCTGAGATCCGAAGAGCACCATACTGGATACTGTAGGGATACAATGTATTATCTGTTAAATTTCATGTATAGTCACTTCCTTGATTAAGCTATATACTGAAGTCAAAGCTTCCTCCATGGTAGCCAGTTCAGTCGACTGATAAAACCAGAATTCCTTTATCCAAAATATTGAAGAGAACATAATAAAAATGGAAACAGAATGATACAAATCCTTTTAATAAAGTATATCAGTGACAACTTCATGTTTAAATAAATATATCATTAAAAAATCATGCAAGAGCATTTTGTTATAATCACTAAGAAAGATTTGAGATTACTATTCCCTCTGCAGAAATGCTATGCACAGAAGCAAAATGATCAAAGGCTGATATAATAATGAATCTCAAGTAAGTGGCAGAGCCATCACGTACCTGTAGGGAAAAAAATCAACATAGAAGCTTTTAGCAATCTTAGTTAACTGTTAACAAGCAGTCAGCAGAAGAAAGGATCTGATGTAAGAGTGACATTCTAAATATACAACGGTATAGGAGATGTACTATTCAGAAGTGAGGCCAGCCACACATAATAGCAGTTCTGGTGCATATGAGTCAAATATCAGTCTCGGTTTGGTAAAACAGCAAGTGAAGCTAAACATTGCAACTACACATTCCTGATCAATTTTTTAAAGTGTCTTTCTGAAGTTTTGTTTATGAGAGTTTCCTTTAGTTAATGTTGCCTCAGAATATACTACCCTGATGCATAACTATACTTTTACATTTTTAAAAATGTCTTTCTGAAGTTTTGTTTATGAGAGGTTTCCTTTGGTTAATGTTGACTCAGAATATACTACCCTGATGCATAACTATACTTTTACATTTATATAATTTCTCTGGAAAGCAAAAAGCCTATATATATATATTAAAGTCGGAGTCTCACTCTGTTACCCAGGCTGGAGTGCAGTGGCACGCTGCTCGTGCGTGGCCACCACAGCCTCGACCTGCTGGGCTCAGGCAATCCTTTTGCCTCAGCCTTCTAAATAGCTGGAACCACAGGCATGCGCCACCGCGCCTGGCTGATTTTTTGATTTACTGTAGAGACGAGGTCTTGCCGTGTTGCTCAGGCTAGTCTCAAGGCCCTGAGCTCAGGCAATCCTCTTGCCTCGGCCTCCTGAAATGCTGGGATTACAGGCGTGAGCCACTGCGCCTCGCCTAATATATCTTGAAAGTTATAAATATGTTTATACCTTTGTACTCAGTAACTATATTCATTGAAATTCAATCTTAGAAAATAATAAAGGTGAAGGTTATGGTAGAAGGAATATACATAACACGTCCTCTGTGTATTACTTATCATGACAGAGGGAGGAAAAAGAAAATTAGCTCAAATGTATGTCAACAGGCAATATTATTTTAAAATTATAATTATGGGCTGGGCTCAGTGGCTCAGCCGGTAATCCCAGCACTTTGGGAGGCCAAGGCAAGTGGATTGCCTGAGCCTGCGGGTTTGTGACCAGCCCGGGCAACTTGGCGAGACCTTGCCTCTACAATAAACAAATAAAAAATTAGCTGGGCATGGTAGCGTGCGCCTGTAGTTAAGACTACTTGGAGGTTGAGGTGGAAGGATTGCTGGAGCCCAGCAGGTCAACACTGGGGTGGCCGTGAGAGTGCCACTGCACTGCAGCCTGGGCAACAGAGTGAGACTCCAACTCAAAAAAAAAAATTATAATTATGAAGCCTGTGATATGATAACTAAAAAACGATGATATCCATATATTGTCCATATATTTGTCCATATATTATTATTCCAATTCATGGTCAACAACGATGAAAATAAGGACAGTACAAGCTGCTGTGACAGGGTCACCAAATCATGGGTGATTTCCAGTCTCTCATTCTCCCTTACTATTTTCCATATTCTCTAGAATGCTGAGACCCTCCCTGATCCACAGTAAGTCCTGAAACGAAAGCAGAGGCTTTCTAATCATAACTTACTAGGTAAGGGTGGAAAAAATAGGAAGATAAAATTCAGCATGGTTAATCACTTCTCAGGATCCCACTGGCCTCCAGTTACTGGGTAAGTTTTGGTAGGAGATAAGAGTACTAATGGGATTCAAACACTTCCTACAGAATCTTCTGAAACACTGATTTTAACAGCTGCTTTCACTAAGTTGTGAAAAATAAACTTAATGGACAGGGTGCCACCTGGACCCTCATGTAGTGAAACCTTAATTAAACAAACAGCACCACCTAAAATACACATTCAGTTGTTTTACTTTTGTGTGTCTGTCTAAAGCCAAGGCCTGACAAATTAGCAGGAACAGAGCTGCTCCTGATGAGGCAGCAGCTTCCTCGCCAGCGCGCATTCATTTCACTTGACAGGCAAAGCCCAATGGAATGCTGTCGAAAAATACTGGTTTTCTTTCCACCTCATCTCTCTGTGGCTTATTTGTTGCTGATCCTATGCTCTAGTTCCCCTTATCTGAATCTCCCTTGTCCTTTCATGCTTAAATTAACATCCAATTTTGGCATCTCGAGCTTTTTTGATTCCTGTTCTGAAGGCCTACAGAACCCAATGAAAGAAAGCAAAACAAATAAATACTTCAAAATAAATGACAGAGAAAAATAAAACAAAAACAAACAAAAGAATTGTTTTATCCTTGCTGTCACCTCTGTGATGGATAAGAGGCTATTTATGAATGCTACATTTAGCTTCTATTATTGAGAATAATCGTCTCTGTTAGTTGACTAGGTACTGAACCTTATAATGCCACAAGGATATTTATTAACTCTATGACGGTGGAAATAGGTTTAAAGTCTAAATATACGGTGCTCTTCAAAGATAATTTTTATTTTTAAAAATCACATTTACTTACCACCATTTCTTCATTTTGAAGCTGCCCCTCTGTGTGTACCAAATCTAAAACACAAGAAATGAGTTAAGGCTCAAAATATGAGGATAACTACTGATTTTATGTCCAGCAAAACATGATATCTAAGTAAATTATAAGGTTAAGACCAGATTTAAAGGAATTACCAGTGTTTCTGTGTTGAAATTTGGTATAGAGACATTTGATGTAAAATGTTAAAAAAAAAAAAAAAAAGTCAGGTACAGTGGCTCATGCCTGCAATCCCAGCACTTTGGAAGGCCAAGGTGGAGGATTGCTTGAGGTCAGGAGTTAGAGACTAGCCTGGGAAACATAACAAGACTCTCTACCAAAAATTTAAAAATTAGCTGGATGAGGTAGTGTATGCCTATAATCCTGACTCCTCAGGAGACCGCTTGAGCCCAGGAGTGGGAGGCTGCAGCAAACTAGGCTCACAACACTGTAGTCTAGCCTGGGTGACAGAGATCACAGGAAGGAGGCTGGTGCTCTTACTATTCAATATGTATATCCTGCATCCAATCCCATGTCTCACTCACTTTCTTTACTATACCTAGTCTTCTCAGCTTCAACATTCAATGTTTCTAGATATCTCTTGAGGACAGTAGTGGTGGTTTGTAGGAGAAAGGAGTGGTCACCTAGCTTTGTGGGATAGAAGAAGGTACCTAGAGTCTAGCCACGCTGTATGTCAACGTTCAACTAATCCCCCTTGTTTTCTGGTCCATGTCTCACTCATACTTTCCCTGGCACCTGCTGCCTTCAAGTTCTAGACCTTTCTGCAGTTCTGTCTGGCAAACTGGGTTGCTTCTCACTGATATGCAGCTTGGCAGGAGCTTAGGTTATACCCTGGTCTGTTCAGCTACCTCTCCATCTGCTTTCCCTCTATCATTATATATTCTGATCTCTCACATTTGCTTTAGTCTCCTGGTTCTTTGTTTTTATTTTTTGTCTGTGTAGACTTATGCCTCTTTTTATTCCTTTACTATTATGGTCACAGTATTTTGGAAGGGAAAGGAAATTAGACACACGAAGGCAATTTGTTTGTCTTGAAGTAGAGGCTATACATTCTGCTGATGATATTTAAATAGTACCATTCAGGAAAGAAGATGACAAACTAATATTTATTTATTTTTTGTCTATTATATGCCACACCCTCATTCACGAAAACCTTAAATGGTATGTATCATCTCCATTTTTCTGATAGGGATTCTGAAACTCAGAAAAATTAAGTAGCATAGAAACAGTTACATAAACAGTGAGTGAAGAAGCAGTCCCGTATTCAAACCTGGGTCTTTCTAGGCCCTAAATTTGTCACAAGAATCATTCAAGTCATCTCTTTTCACTAAAATGCAGCCAGAATGGAAATGAAGAGTCAAAGAACTATTATATACACCCTTATGATGATGAAACAAACACATACCTTTTTCAATCCATTGCTCAAAATCAACTGGCTCTTTGGATGTGCTCTTTTCAATCTTCAAGGTCCGTACTGACATTGTAAATAAACAAAATAAATAAAGGGTTAATTATCTACCTGATTCTATGCAGTTGTCCTTATATTTCTTTTTCACACTGCCTGAGACTGTCAGACATTGGTAGGACTTCATACATTATTGGGATCAAGAAAACTGTTCTGGAAGCTACTTACTCTGTGTTTTTCCATAAATCCCTATGGCAAAAAACAGTCTTGTGTAACTGTAATCTTAACAAATGTTTGCAACCATATAACACAGAGTTAGTAGAGCTTTTTTGAATTGAGTATCCAGATTTTTTTTTTCTTTTTTCTTTTCCAAGTCGGGTCTCTATCACCCAGGCTGAAATACAGTGGCACAATCATGGCTTACCACAGCCTTGATCTCCGGGGCTCAAGTGATTTTTATGCCTCAGCCTTGCTATATTGTTTAGACTGGTCTCAAACCTCTGGGCTCCCAAGCAATTCTCCTGCCTTGGCTTCTCAAAGTGCTGGGATTACAGGCATGAGCCACATGCTTGGACTTAGATTTTTTTCTATACAAGTGATACTACTATTGGTGGTCTCGATCATAAAACTTTATGGAGAATCTATGATGAGTCAGGAATGTTTATTAATTCACTCTTGACTACAATATTATGAAAGAAGTATTATTAACCTACTTTACTGATGAGAAAACAGGCTTAGAGAAGCCAGACAAGGTGTTCTATACAGCTAATAAGTGCCACAACAAGAATCCAAACTTTAAGTCTGTTTGACTCCAGAGTCTCTACAATTAATGACAGAAGAGGCTTAAAAAGAATGCTGTCATATTCCTTCTGTACTGCTTTTTCCCCCCTGTCCCCAACCCCATCTGTACCACTCCGGATCCATTCCTCCCCTCTTTGTCCTGTTCATGCTGTGAGGGGCTGGCCTTTGTGGACTATGTCACCTGTATCTACTTTCCCACTGGCATCTAAGTGGATGTGGCTAATGGGAGGTACCAGGAGGGCAGTGGGGAAGTGAGATCAGCCTGTTTTACCTCCATTCCCTCCCTGCTTCAGTGCCACATCTTTGACAGTCTATGGCTCCTGCCACACAGGTCCTTTTGCACAGGCTCCAGTTTTCACGGGGCTCTGATAGCACTATTTTTTCCCCTTGTCCCAGGAGCAGAATGGCTTCTTGCTATAACTGGTTTCTGAAGTCCTTACCATAATTTGTTTGTTCCCTTAATCTAGGCCATAATTTTGTAAGTAGCCTCACCAATAAAGTCTCTTCATTTGAACCATCTAGGGTGAGTTCTGTTTCTCACCATGATTTTGTCTGATACATTTTGTCCTTAAATAAATACAGACAGGATTAAAATAATAGTCCAGGCTGAGCATGGTGGCTCAAGCCTGTAATCCCAGCACTTTGGGAGGCTGAGGTGAGAGGACTGCCTGAGTCCAGGGGTTTGTGAGACCCCTGGCAACTTGGTGAGACCTCATCTCTACAGTAGATCAAAAACTTAGCCAGGCATGCTAGTGCGCACCTGTAGTTCTGGCTACCTGGAAAACTGAGGCGGAAGGATTGCCTGAGCCCAGCAGGTCGACACTCGGGTGGCCGTGAGCATGCCACTGCACTCTAGCCAGAGTGACAGAGTGAGATTCTGACTCAAAAAAAAAAAGATAGTACAATGGGAGATTCTCCTCCTAAATCCCTCAGAAAATGCCATTAGTAATAGAAGAGTTGCAACTATCCAATGTGAATAATCAGGGTTATCAGACTTTCAGCAAGAATTGGACATGCAACTCCAGACACATGAATCTAGAATGAAGATATCAGAGAATCTAGTGTTCTGGCAAGCTAGTTTTTTATGCCCAGAATAGGGCCTTTTGCCAAAGACTTTCACATAGTAAATTGCATGGTAATTATTATGCACTTTGGAAGGGTTTCAAATTTGCAATTTCAGAAAGGCTAATTGAGCTCAAGGCAGTTAACTCATAATCCCCACCCTCTCACCCCAGCAATAAACTGGATTCCACATTATAGAGAAAAACTACTGTTTTGCCAGAAGTCTACACACTTGTCTTATGACTATGGAAAAATTAAAGGATGATGAAAATTAATGTATGAGCCTCATATGGAGCACCAAAAAAAAAAAAAAATTAATGTCTGACTTGCTTACCAAAGTAACTTTGAACTGTAAGTCTTTCAATCCTTACATGTTTGTGGAAACAAATAATGAACTCCTGGGGAAACATTCCTGTAGTGGTCCAAAATGTTTCTGGATTCCTATTGTTATTTTAAAGAAAAAAATAGGAATAGCCAAATAGAAATGATTAATCATGCAATTCTAATGAATACCTATTTTTAAAAATAAATGACTTAATTGCTAATTCTGCCTCTAATTTCTCTACAACCTTCATTCTTCTTTACTACTTTCAGGTAATCTTTTCTAAAACACAGAAACATAGAACTGATGTCATTCCTGTTTGAAAGGCTTCAGTGGTCCCTCATTGCCTGTAAATCTAGACTCTTAGTATGGCATTTAAGACTGTACACTCTGGTTCCATCATTAAAGTATGTTCCCTCATCATTGTATCCACACAAAGCTACTGAAAATTCTGCAAACATGTCATGCAAGCTTACACTTCTGGATCTTAGCTCATGAGGTTTTCTAGACCTGAAAACCCTTCTTCCCCTTGCAAAAGTTTATTCACTGTTTGGTCCCATTTCTCAACAAGTCAGAATCACTTCCTCCCTCCTCTGCACACATGTCACATTCAGCCTCTACTTCCACACTGGCTCTTAATCTCTTGTTCTTACGGCTCCAGCTATGCTGAATTCTTTGAGCCCAGTGACTTTCTCTTACTCATCTTTGCATCCCTACAACTACTACAATGGCTGACCCATAGTAGGTAAATGTTTGTTAAAAAAATTAAAACATGCACTCAGTTATAAGTAATATATAAAATGGTATATACTGTATATGGTATTGACTACAAAATTCATCATTCCTATTTTAACTAGATAAGCTTCTTTTTTGGAAGTAAAATTCTCCCACAGTGAAATTTACCTTAAGTGCATAATTTAATGGATATTTAAATGTTTAATGCTTATATAACCAATACCCCAATCAAGATAGAGGACATTTTTATGACTCCAGAAATTTCCCTTATTTTTTCTTCCAGACAATTCCTACCTTCCTTAGGCAATCATTGCTCTGATTTCTATCACCAGTGGACTATGCCATAAAGTTTTTATACATTCTTTTGTTATTTTTATTGGATATTCTTAAAGTTTTTGAAAATTTCTTTAATTTTTCAGGAGACAAGGTCTCACTCAGTCACCCATGATGGAATGTAGTGGTGTGATCATGGCTCACTGTAACCTTGAACTCCTGGGCTCAATTGATCATTCTGCCTCAGCCTCCTGAGTAGACTGGAACTACAAGTACACACCCACCACACCTGGCTAATTTTTAAATTATTTATGGAGACGGTGTCTTGCTATATTGCCCAGGTCAGTCTCAAATTCCTGGCCTTAAGTGATCCTCTTGCCTCGGCCTCCCAAAGTGCTAGGATTACAGGCATGAGCGACCTCACTGGGCCTTTTGTTGGATATTTGAATTGCTTCCAGTTTTTGACTATTTTAAATGTGCTGTTATAAACATTCTTGTACAAGTGTTTTTGTGAACAGGTTTTATTCCTCTTGGGTAATTACTACGTGTGAAATTGCTGGGTCATAGGGTAGAAGTATATTTAACTTTATAAAAAACTGTCACATTCCCAAAGTGGCTGTACTATTTTACATTCCTGCTGGCAATTTTCTTTCTTTTAATGTCTTTGTCAGGCTTTGCTACCAGGATTATGTTGTTCTCATTAAACAGTTTGGGAAAGGTTTCCTTCTCTACTTTTGAGTTTGTGAAAGATTGGTATTTCTTCTCTAAATATTTGACAGAATTTAATTTAATAAATACAAGGCTGTTCAGATTTTCTAATTCATCTTGTGTCTTTTTATAGGCTGAGTTTTTCAAGAAATCTCTCCATTTAGTCTAAGCTGTCAAATTTACTAGCTTAAATTTGTTCTTTATATTGACTTATTTTTTTTAGAATCTGTAATGATATTGTTTCTTTCATTCCTGTCTCTAATAAATTGTATTCTCTCTATTTCTTTCTTGGTTAATCTTGCTAGAGGGCTACAACTCTTATTAATTCTTTCAAATAGTCAACTTTTATCTTCAACAATTTTTCTAATAATTCTCTGTTTTCGATGGTATTGATTTATGCTCTTACCTTTATTATTTATTTGTTTATTTATTTTGAGACAGGGTCTTGCTTTGTTACCCAGGCTGGAGTGCAGTGGCCCATTGCTCATTGTGAACTTGATTTCCTGAGTTCAAGTGATCCTTACCCCAGCTTCCTGAGTAGCTAGGACTATAGACATGTTAAAAAACAAAAACAAAAACATTTTGTAGAGACAAGGTGTCATGCTATATTGTCCATGCTAGTCTTGAACTCCTGGCCTCAAGCAATCCTCCCACCTTGGCCTCCCCAAGCATGGGGATTACACGTGTGAGCCACCATGCCTGACCTGCTTATATCTTTATTATTTATTTTCTTCTACTTACTTTGGGTTTAGAATTTGCTCCTGTTTTTCTAGCTTCCTGAAGTGAAAATTTAAATTATTGGTTTTAAAAATTCTTCTTTTTAAATGTAAGTATTTATGACATAACTTTCCCTTGAAGCACTACTTTAGCAGCATCCCACGTATTTGGATATGATTTATCTTTGATATCATTCAGTTACAAATGTTTTCTAAGCTGGGCATGGTGGCTCACACCTGTAATCCCAGCACTTTGGGAGGCAGAGGCAAGAGGATTGCCTGAACCCAGGGGCTCAAGACCAGCCTGAGTAACATGGTAAGACCTCATCTCTACGATAAATAAATAAATAAAAATTAGCTGGGTGTGGTGGCACATGCCTGTAGTTCCAGCTACTTGGAAGGCTGGGGCAGAAGGATCACTTGAGCCCAGCAGGTTGAGGCTGCAGTGACTATGAGCATGCCAGCCTGGGTGTCAGAATGAGATTCCTACTCAAAAAAAAAAAAAGAAAAAAAAGTTTTCTAAGATCCCTTATTAGTTATTTTTTGACCTGTGGGGTATTTAGAAGAGTAAGGTTTAATTTGGGAGATTTTCTAAATATATTTTTATCTATTTTTAACTTAATTACATGGTGGTCAGAGAATATACTAAGATTTCGATCTTTTGAAATATATTGAGATTTATTTATTTATTTATTTATTTATTTATTTATTTTTTTTTTTTTTTTTAGAGTTGGAATCTCACTCTGTCGCCCAGACTGGAGTACAGTGGTCGCTCCCAGCCACCGCAGCCTCAACCTGCTGGGCTCCAGCGATCCTTCCGCCTCAGCCTTCCTAGTAGCCAGAATTATAGGCGCGCGCTACCACTCCCGGCTAATTTTTTGATTTATTGTAGAGATGAGGTCTCGCCTACCCAAGTGG